CTCCCAAGCCCCTCACAAATAATGATGAAAATAAACTGTTTTGGTTCTCTTCCTTTATTTTAATGTTTTCAATCATCAAACAGAATGCATATTTTGTTACAGTTCAATTGGATGGATGACATTGTTTACTTTCAGTCAGTCGACTGATTCGAGGTTGAGTCACTGATAAAGCACATCTCATGTCTGGGTCCACATGTAACCGGTTTCGGCTTTTATTCTCTATTTGAAGAAGGTGGAGACACCAGATTCACATAAATAAGTAGTAGAGAATGGCAAGAGGACTCGAAGTGCCATCTCACTAACTTTTGGATATGACTGATACATTGAGCACCAGAATACAGTCAGATTTTTCTTCATAGAGGTCTCTGGCAGCAGAATCGTTCTGAGATCAAGGAATTCGTCTGAACAGGAACTAGAATCGTGCAATCTGAGCGAATCAGTTGGAAATGAAATTCTAGCTACTGCACCATACTGTGTAAATATCAAAACTGTACTGTATGGGTATTACGATTACACACAATGACAAAAAAAAATCTCCCCTAACAAGGCAAAGTAACAAAAAAAAATTGAATCAGAGTTTCCACACTTTCTCCAAACATATACTACTTGCACTAGCCTGCCATGGCCCCCAGTTTGAGAAACACTGGGGGTAGAGGGTGCATCGGAACTATGGCGCGTGAGTGTACAATGGTTTTGGTCATGGGTGTATACATGGTGGTTGGTCATCAGTGAGAGCAGAAGACCAACACGTACAGTACAGTATGTCATAGCTGCTATTTTAAGTTGTCACCGAGAGAGGATATGTGTGTGTGTGTGTGTGTGTGTGTGTGTGTGTGTGTGTGTGTGTGTGTGTGTGTGTGTGTGTGTGTGTGTGTGTGTGTGTGTGTGTGTGTGTGTGTGAGAGAGAGAGAGAGAGACGTCACCCTAGATGGCGACTACCGTTCATCTTTTACCGTAAATATTCCCTTATATACTGAGCCTTCTCGGTACTGTTGTGTCTCCTCGTATTTTAATGAACGAATGGCTGGGTTCACTTACCTATAAATCTGGCTCGTGTGTACTATCACACCGCTACACCCTGACACGAAGCCTCTGAGAGTGTGACAACTAAGACACTGGTTGGTGTACGACGCCATTTACGATGACCTTCTTGCCCTGATCTTGTTTCAGGGATACCACCTTTTCGAAGCTCTGGAGAGATCTCGAAGTTTAGATATTATGAATACAGCACTAGCTAATAATTCCCACCAGGAAACTTGCTTCGAGACTCCTCCAAAGCTTCGGAAAGTGCAGAGTTCCATGTGTTAAAGGCGATATTGCTGAAAAAAGATCAGGGCAAGAAGGTCATCATAAATGGCGCCATACACCCCATACCTGGTCTTGCAAGTTAGACCAAGCTGTCAAGTATTTCATCATATTAAAAATTTTCCTGCAAGCAGATCAAGTCATCTATATTATAAGCTTTCTGTTACGCATATTTACCTACTTGGGTCTGGTTTGTATCCGGTGAGATGGCTGGTCTGACGTGATTAACTGCTCGGACTGACGTAAGCATGGTCTATCGGGCTGACGCAAGTAAAGTGCCAGGGCTGACGTGAGACAGGTCACCGGGCTCATGATCGTATAGTCGGGCAACACATCCAAGTTTTGACCACACGCTGTTAAAGACTGTTATTGTTTGATCTTGAGTTTATTAAAGGCAAACATTCTCGTCTGTGTGTGTCTGGTAAAGAAAGTCATACACGCCGTGGGTCATATCCCCTCCATGAACCCAGACCCCGTATGTTAGTCTGGCTGTTAGTTATATAGAGTTTAATAGATAATAATTAGACCTGGATGTAAACAAGATCTTATGAATGGTAGTGTCCGAGAGTGTTTACAGTCTGTTTGGTTTGTCTGGTGGTAGCCCGAACTGTAATTAAGTAAATACTGGTCTAGTGTCATTCCTGGAAAAATAATCGTGCCCTTTGTTTTGTCTTCAATTTGGTCAAACACCGGATCCAACTACCAGTTTTCAGAAAAAAATGAATGAAATAGAATTGTTCTTTCCCACGAATATATTTCTGACCTCACTTTCTGGTCCAAAGTGAAAGTGTATCATGTACTCTTAATTATAATGTTTTTTTATCTGAGAACAATACACACAATTTAATTATTTTTATTTCATATCACTTTTCTTAATTTATTACTTGACCATTTTTGCGGGGCAGATATTGTTTTCGGTCGTGTGTGTGTGTGTGTGTGTGTGTGTGTGTGTGTGTGTGTGTGTGTGTCAAAATAACTTGAAAATACATTTGCGGATTTGCACCAAACTCGGTAGGCGTGATCATGTAATAAGGTCCACGTGATCAACTTTTCCTGCAAATCGCTCCAAAATTATCAAGGTTAGGTTAGGTTATGTTAGGTTAGGTTAGGTTAGGTTAGGTTAGGTTGGTAATATTCATAAGAAATCTTAAATAAATGAAATCCAAGAGAAATTCAGATATCACAGTTATCAGACGGTCGTTCCCTCACGTCCTGTTAACTGCCTCATCTACCTCCCCTATAGTTAACCTCTACACCTCCCATTACCTCTGCACCTCCCATTACCCTCACGGATGCCAGACATAATTGGTACCTACCCACTTACCTGCCCGAGAAAGCTCATTAGTAATTTTCTCCCAGACGTGAATGGTAGCACGTGAGTGTTATCCAGTTCACCAGGACGTCAGCACTGGCCCTCCCTGGAGTAGGTTTGTTTACTGGGGCGCCACAACACCAGGTGCACACTAGCTGGCTGAGGGAGAGGCATAAACATAACATCTTTGGGAAGCTTCTGTAGGATGCCAAGGCCCACTCTGGAGCTTTAATAGTGCCATAATCGACTGTCGTATAGTCATTACTGCGACGCCTGATGGTGCCACGCCTAACTGTGTCTGAGATAACGGTGCCAGGGTCAAGGGTATGGTGGTATTAGATATTAAGATCATTGGTTGTTAATACTAGCCGAAGGTGGCGGTGTGAATGTTTCTCTCTCTCAGTGGCACTCAACACACAGTCGGCTCTCTTATTGACTTTTATTTATTTTTTTTTTTGCGTTAGGATGAGTTTCGAGAAAATGTCAAACTTATTCACAGAAATTATCGTAACATTTGGTCGTGGCTTACATGTATTATTTGTTTAGGTTAGGTTAGGTTTATTGTGATGGTATTTTTGTGTTAAAGGTATATATATATATGTGTGACTTACGGGAGAACCAGCTGCCATAGTATTTACGACTCTCAAAATGTTCAAGACGATTTTTTTCAATCCAAGCACTTTTAAGGCTAATTGGGCTGTGAATGGTGTGCTTTTGTTGAAGTTGTAAATCACAGGAAGTTTTTAGCTATTACAAGTGAGGGAGCTAGTGGGGGCCACCTTTTGGTTGATAGCCAGTGGGGGTGGTGGTGGCAGTCGGGTAGGTGGTGTTGGTAGGGGTGGTGGTGATAGCGGTGGGGGAGGTGCTGGTGGTGGTGGTTTTCTTAACAAGAATGACAAATATTATTCCTCAGTGACCAGTGTGAGGGGTGGTGGTATAAAGTAATGGACACACAATACTGTTGACACACCACCTCGCGACAACACGCGCGGAGCTTAATAATACCCTCACACACACCGGGGATACCTGTTCGTGTGAGGTTAGGTTAGGCTGGTTAGATTAGGTTAGGTTACAGTTGGGTAAGTGAGGTGATATAACTGAAGAAAAGAAAAGTCATGATAATGTTGACCGTCATTCAGAAAGTTGAGGAAGTTTCCGGAGCCGCAGGTGGAGGTCACTTGATTAGGTTTTGTTTACTTGAGTGACATGACGGAGCTGGGGAGAGGGAGGGGGAGACAGCGACAGTCAACTCTCGCTTCCTCACACAAATAGAGAGAGAGAGAGAGAGAGAGAGAGAGAGAGAGAGAGATAGAGAGAGAGAGAGAGAGAGACGTATACCACAACTCCACCATTCGTCAAGCTGGCATCTCTTGAATTAACTTTAGTTACATTGTCGTAAAGTTATGGAATTTCTACTGCCTTTTTACAGGTGTGAGATGGTGAGGCTGGAGACATTATTTTTACTGAAGATATAATATGGTAAATTGTGTATATTCATATTTTCTATTTCACATAATAATAATAATAATAATAATAATAATAATAATAATAATAATAATAATAATAATAATAATAATAATAATAATAATAAAAATAAACTTATACAGACGTACATCTATGTGTAAAATATAAATATGAAGGTACAATTAAGTGAAAGAAAAAATATTTACGATAATTCATGTGAAATATTATACTGTGACAACAAATGTAGCCTGAGAGCCTCGCGGTTACTCCTAGTCACACACACCAGCAACAAAGGCGAGGATATGCACAGCTTGATCCTCAGTTCTCTTACAGTCACTTTAGGCAGGAGATGGGCGACGTTCCCTTAGCATCAGACCTCACTAATTCACTCAAATTAGAGCGAACGCCAGGCGATGTTGATTGCTCCTTCGGGAAGTAACTACAAGAACCTCATTTTTGCCTCCAAGATACACTCGTTCATTCATCAAGGCTCTAAACTCCTCATGTAAACTGTATATTGAATGTCTTCAGAATTAGAGTGTATTGGGTGTTGACTGTGTAGGTGAAGGACTAACCTAACCTAACGTAACCAAACCAAACCTAACATACGGTGCACCCCCCCCCCGTTGGTAGCATTAGATTTTTACTCATCTAGTGAAAGAAGTTCGGGGTGCCTAATCTTCATGTGGTCCCGGACGTGTTCTAGCCACCGCCTACCACCACCAACCACACGTATTCAACACTACCTCCTTTATACACCAGGAAGTCTTGTCCTAATTGCAGTGTGTGTGTGTGTGTGTGTGTGTGTGTGTGTGTGTGTGTGTGTGTGTTACAGCACTAAAGACTTCAGTGTGAGGTTATGTTATACTGTGTTTTTGTTTCTCTGTACACATCATTAACAGTGTTGAATCTTCTACAGATGATACCTACATGTACGACGACGACGTGGAGGGCGGGGAGGCCGGGGCGGGCCTGGGGGCGGCGCAGGGATGCATGGGGCCGCCCCACCATTGGTACGATGAGCCACCCTACGAGTCTGACCCCGAGGACTTTCTTATCGGCAAGGACACCTTCAGGTAGGTCTGCGTGCTCTGTTTGTGTACACAGTGGATGATGGAGCTGTTTTATTATGAGATACAGTCGTTGTGTGTTAGTATGGGGTTGTGATGATGGTGTTGTGCCCACAGAGAACCTTATGTCAACAACCTGCGGGTGGTGATGAACGAGGAGGACATCATCTCTCTCAGAACGGCGGGGGACATCTCTGTCCCTCGTGACATCACCAGAACCGCCCACACCCACTGGGCGGGAGGTGGCCATGGTTTCGCCTTCCGTAGTCCCACCCACACTCACCGCAACCCCACCCACATCCATTGGCCAGAGGCCACCTACCAGAGTGGGCGGTGTGTGACAAGCTACCCGCAGCCCGTCTACGACAACGTACGACTTGTGAACGTGGCGGCCGGCAGGCCCGAACGACAGCGACGACGAGAGCCTGAGTACCACAACGTGGAGGCCGTGCGGGGGGGCGGTCGGCGCCCACGACGCCCACTCCTGAGGGAGAGCGGCGCTGACTACGCCTCGGATGTTCACAGTGTCACCTCCAGACTCTCCAACGTGTCGGTAGAAACCAACCGTTCCGACCCCACCGACCTGCGCCTCTCCAAGTATACGGTAAGTCCCTCCACACTAACACTTAATGCTTCTTAGAACTTGTGGGATGACACGAGTCCTGGTGGACACAAGCTGACGCTGGCCAGGAGTGTGTTGGACACCTGGATAAAGGTAAAGTATATTTTTGTATTGGGTTGTCATATATTGTGTCTCTTAAGGGTGAACCTTAATATAAGAGTCATTACTCACAGCTAAACACAACAGCCAACTGTGTCACGTCACTCTGGCTGGTGAGATGGTGTACTGGTTTTTGGTCTGAGCACCACATGTGTGTGGTGAACGCTGCCTCGCCACAGTTGTATGACGTATTAGACATTGACCGACCGCTGTAAAACATATAACATATTTTATGACTTATATCATTAGGTCGATGTTTCATTGTGTGTCGTTACGGTGTTACCTTAACGTCGCCAGGTAAAAGTTATAAAAGAAATAAAAGATTCACTTGTTACGATGTGAGGGCGGAAGGTGGTGTAGTACTCTCGAGGGAAGAGTAACATGGCCTGATTATCATAATTATTGTAGTATGTAAGAGTATTGAGAAACGAGTGGTAGGAGAGAGGGAGGAATGGAAGGGAAGGAAAGGGAGGGTTAAACATTTATAGTCTACCAGAACAAGTACAGCAAGATGGTGTAACTTACATGTGAGTCTCAGGACGCGCTACGTCTTTAATGTTACTATTATAAAGTTAAATCTTTACGCTCTCAGAGACAACTAAGACACAAACCATAAACACGAATTTATGGTTGAGGAAAATGTTTACCGCTTCGCCTTACCACTTAGAAAATATCTTTTTTTAGCCTCAATGGTTCGTTTTCAAAAGTCGTCGGTTTCCGATTTCCTTCCAGCATGATGTAAGCTTTGGTTGTCATCCACTGGTTGTCCAAATCGGAAACGTTAGCATGGGAAGGGCGAGTCGCTCCTTGGGTGGGCTGGGCCTCCCGCCACACCCACTATGGCGCCACACTCTCTTTATACAGGTATAGAGAAATAGTACCCACCGGCGACTATGACCTGGTCTAGCTTACATACTAGACCTCAGGCATATTATGTTTTGGTCACAGGGGAGGGCAGCAACACACAACAAGGTCACTATACTCAGGCTTCCTGGTGTAGTTAATTCTGGTGTCTCTTGAAGTATTCGACAGTTTGTTTTCTTGAATGGCGTTTTTCACCTTCACAATATTGATCGTTCGTTAAATGTTTGCTCCCTCCGCCTCTATAATGTAATGTTGACAATATAGCACCAGTCAGTAAGGTGTTTACTTGTAGATATTGAGGGTGGTTCTTGGTAGTGTGGTCGCGTGTGGTGTGGTCGTGTGGTGTGGTTGGATGTAGTGTGTTGTGTAGTGTGGTGTGGTGTAGTGTGTACCTGGTGAGTGTGTAGTGTGTACCTGGTGAGTGTGTAGTGTGTACCTGGTGAGTGTATAGTGTGTACCTGGTGAGTGTAGTGTGTGCGTGGTGAGTGTCTCTTTAACCCCTAGAACAAAGGTAACAGCTATACTGAAGGTCAAGAGGTCATGTTTTAGGACACAATGAGGTATTAAATGATGTTGTTCTAGTGACCATCTTGTGTAAGTTGTATCCAGGCCTCGACCCCCCGATCCCTTTGTTATTCTCAGGTTCTCGTCTTTCACTTTGTTCAATTATCTCCAGTTATCTCTTATCGTCTTCCTCCATCAACTGCACTTCTAATATCTTACTTCTTTATCAGTGACCTTCTTTCCTCAATAGTTTAGTATACTCTCTATCTTGGTCACTTCCATTTCATTTGTGTGTGTGTGTGTGTGTGTGTGTGCAGTAGGCGGGAAATTGTAATCCACATATCCGCCGGATTTTGGTGGGAACCTGACCACTGAAAGAGCTATACTGACCACAGGGACAACTAAGTGCTGCCTCTGACTCACTCTGACATCTTATGGGTCTTTATATTTATTGAGAGAAGGAAGGAGGGTAGAGTCGAGCCACGAGCAAACCCTAGTGGAGGGGTAGGTGGAGATATGAGAGAGGGGGAAGGTATAAGAGAGAGAGAGAGAGAGAGAGAGAGAGAGAGAGAGAGAGAGAGAGAGAGAGAGAGAGCCACTAATATACTCAGGTAATTAATAAAGTAGCACTAAAAATATTGAAAAGCATCTTACTGGTGATGTCGATACACGAGGTGGTAATGGCACGTATTTCCTTGTGACCGTTCTGGCACTTGACGTTATTCTGGACCTACACCGCCTTGATATAAACATGAACGCAAGGAATTCTCCCTTTATACTCTTATTCTTTCTTCACTATAGGTAACTCGCTGCGTATGTTGGGTGTGGCTCACAGTATTTAACAGAAAAAAAGATTACTCACGTGTGTGTGATCCAGGTCGACGGTAACACCCGGATAACTGACCTATTGAACACAACCACGACCCTCCCCAAACTGAACTGACCTGCAAACGTTATATTGTTTTTACTGCCCTCCAACAACTAGCCTCTATAATAGCATAATTGAGAATACTTTAATAATTCTACGAGTCCATCAACAGTTAAAAAATGTAAAAGCTATTACAACAGGAGTTCTCAGCCATTCACAACACTACTCTTGGGTGACGTCATTTCAGCATTGGGTCACAACTCAGGACGTGGTAGTTACGGCTGACTGACTGCTGCCTGCTGTCACAAATATGGACCTTAGTCATCACCTGCCCATCCATGGAAACCCGCGTGACGACAGCGACAGAATCACTTACAATTAATGAACAACTTAGTGTTAGAGAGAGTCCTAGGGTAATGGCGGCTGTTGGCGGCAGTGTGAATCAGCATACTGCACTCGACCACTTTCACTTCCCGAACTGTAGAGTCAGTTGACACTTGGATGACCTGAAGGTGCCCCGGAAACGAATCTTACAATCTGTAGGAGTAGGGCAAACAGGAAGCGACCGCTATATCCACTCTGCTGCCGTACCCATTAAAGATACTAAGAACAAAAAAGGTTTGGGTGTTGCTGTTGACAGGATACAAACGTTCGTCGGTCACGTGAACGAGACGAACCAGGGAAATGGTCAGATACAACGATCCTTCACACAGCGAGAAAGAAACAACTTGAGACGGTTGTACGAGACCCTGGGTAGTGTGTGTCTCTATAGTGTGACCCATAGATATAGAGACCACCCAGTCGAGGAAGCTGAAGACTGTCGACGGTGTACAGTACAGCGAGAGTTGGGGTTGGTATTAAACATTCAGGATGACACGCGGGGCATATTATCATGAAGAAGGTGACCTACCAAAGTGGGGCCTATAACAGTAGCGTCGCCGCTCGCTTCTTTAAATTATTCAAGGCTCGTCCACACACCACGTTCATGCAAAACAACGTCTCCCTCCCATACTGCAGCCGTATGGAACATCTTACCCTAACAAATGTATTGACCTGTGAAGACGGGGATCTGGATACACCAGTCGAGATACTGAGATAAACCAAACGGGCACACTATCAGACCCAACCTCCCCTCGCCCCCACACTACTGCCTCACAAACCAGACTTGACTTTTTCAAACGGAACGTGCCGCCGTGCCATGTGTCCCCGCGAAAATGCAGTTGTCCTGAACCAATTGTCTGACACTCTCTGACGCCGTTACCTGCAAGTCTCCTCTCATTCTTAGTGTGACGACAACATCCATTCTGTATCAATTTATGGTGTGACGCTGGCTGCTGAATTTAGACAATATATAACATTCTACAAACATGACTTGCCCAACGCTTATCCTCCTGCCTCTGGAAAGCCAACTCGTTTGAAGACCTGACCATTTCTAAGTCGCCTCTCATTTTCTTTCTTTTTCTTCTTATTTTCTTTGTACTTTTGTTTTCCCTTCCTCCTCCTCCTCCTCCTACCTTTCAGCTTGTCCCTGAAGGCGCCAACACATTGTTTGCCACACATGTTAACATCTTGTATCAACACCCACTCCTGTCAACAACCCCAGACTTACACACCTCACCTGTACCCGGGAGACGTGAGTGTGTCTCGGTTAGGTTAGGTTATTGTTTTGGTTTGGTGGACGTGTTTCTGTGGTTTGGCTCAAGTACCGTACACTCTTATATCGGAACACGCCAACTTATTTCACCTGAGGATTAATCACTAACCCACCCTACCCTAACCCACCAGGTAACATTCGGGTGGATAATCTTTAGTTAAATAAGCTGAGGAGGTTTATCTCCTCCAACGAGGAATATACGTCATGCAAGCCTTTGAAAATCTGCAAGGAGAGTTAGGTTAGGTTAGAATGCGTCCTTACACCTTCAGCTGTGTGAGGGAGGGGGTGTAGGTTTGAGTTATATTCCGAATCTGTGATGATAATCTTTTTCTTCTCTCACCACAACCCTCCCAAGGTCAGTGGCTCAGGTGTGGGCGCCGCCCGCCTGGGGGTGCGCCTGAAGAAGGGAGGGTTGTTACCTGTTCTCTTAATTAGGTTTGTTGTGGTGGCCCAGGCGGCTGTGTTGTTGATGAGAGGTTCCCGCTCTCACTTACTCACTCATTCTCTCTAACTCACTCACTCTCTAACTCAGTCACTCACTAATTCCATCACTTAACTCACTCACTCTAACTCTCACTCACTCTCACTCACTCACTCACTCACTCCCTGCCCCCCCCCCCACGGTGGTCTACGGTCGTCCAGGGTGACTATAGACCCTCACCCCAGTCTTATTAGGTCCTACTGTTTCTGGATCCCAACATAACCTAACCATTAGCTATGGGGCCCAGTCCTCGTGGGCCTTAACCCTAGGAGACCTCAATTCTGACATTGGTTGGACTTCATTAGATATTGTGGAGAGAAAGATAACGGATAGATAAATACAGTGTGTGTCTGTGTGGTGTAGAAGATGGTCCACTAGGTGATGGTGACAGGTGAACCATCAACAAATCTCCTGCTCCTTCACCTCTTCACCATCACACCACCTCCTTAACCCCGCCTCACCATCACACCACCTCCTCGCCCCCGCCTCACCGCCATCATTAGCAATTAGAA